TTGAAGAAGTGCGTTCATTTGGGGGGGGGGGGGTCGATGGAGTATTTAGTGAACTAGGAATTACCTTGGCATTCTCTGGTTACAATTAGGTCCGAAACGATTGAAGGCAACAGTGACCTTCATGTTCTTGTCCCTCAAGAACCCATCATCATGGCCAAGTAGCATGACCTTGTCTTGGTCTCTAAACCAATTGTTAGAGACAGTAACAAATGTAGATCCTCGAGTGACATCAAGAAGACCATCCTGGCATGAATACAGTGTGTTGTGATCTATCCAAACCTTGGATGCACTGACCAGCCTTATTGCATCCCCATCCATCTGACCTAATTGCATTTGTTTCCCATCTGGTCCCATGACTGTGCTAGGCCCTTGTGCATTGCAATGGTGAATCCTTAGGCCATGGATGATCACGTCCGTTGCCTAAACAAACAGCATAAGTACTGCAAATCAAAACCATAGACCATGCATTGCGTATTCAAGCACGAAAGTTGGCAACTAGGAGAAAATTAATCTACCTTGTACACCAAGAAGCATCCGAAGCCTTCAATTCCAACATCAACACCGCGACCGTCAATGGCAGTATAGCTGCTAATAAGAAGTGGTTTCTCAAGTTTGATATCCATGTTCCTTTCGAAAGTGATCCAGACTTTGCTTGTGATCATGGTGGCTCCATGTCTTAATGTCCCTTGTTTAGGGTTCACAGGGTCATCACTAGGATCGGTGACTTCATACATTACAGCATCTCTTCCAGCATTGTTAGTCATTTTCCCTGCAAACCCTACAGAACAAGATGCCAGTTGTTGCCGGCTTCTTCGCCAATTCGGACTCGTTTTCCAACATTGATCTATGGCATTCATTTTGGTGGCAGCAATACAAGCACTGGGGATGAAGGAAAGGATGGCAATACAAACGACCACTACTAAAAGGTGCCTTAAGACAACCATGATGATGTCTTAAATAAATTATGGGAGAGGGTTAGAGATTTGCAATGTAAGAGTTAAGGAATGGTGGAGGGTTTTTATAGAGGAGCTCAGCAATGGTGGCGTTGCAGTTTGTTCTGTTGGTTACAGTAGAATGCGGCAGTGATAACTAATTTTCTATATCTGTAATTACAATTATAAGTGGGTGTTGTATCCTAAAAATACACAGATTACAATAAAATCTCCCATGATTTGTGTACTAATACAGTTGGTTTGGTTGTTGAGACCATTCCATGGATATAACTAACATGTATGAACATATATATAGTTATTAAAAACAGAAAATAAACCTTACAAAATGTTTAAAAAAAATTAAATTAAATGAAATTCTAAATTCTTATCTAGCTTTACTAATATTTTATAATTAAAAAAATGAGAAATATAATTAATTCTAATAAATATTCCATCCAAACTTATTTGAATTAAATCTTTAACCTCATGTTTTTGTCTAGATATTCTACATATAGTGATTTATTTATTTTGATAAATTATTAGGTTAATTTACGTCTTTATCATTTCAATCACAATCGCACCATCGTCTCCACATTCCTCAAAAAATCTTCAATCACGTAATATCTACCAATTTACTATTTTCTCTTAATATTTAATACTTTTATTATATCAGTATTCCTTATTAATTAAATGTTTGGAGCTATTGAAAATAAACTCCAGAAAATAATTTCATATGGTTTCCTCCACTGTCTCATTTTTTTATTTATAACAATGCAATCCTGGAACAATATCTTCCATTAAATCTGATGTGATTTATTATTTCTCTAATATCTATTTGTATATCTAATTAAATTTATTTTTATTTTTAAAAATATCTTATATCTATAATTCTTGACGTTAAATCTAACCTACCAAATTAGTTATGCGATAATAAATTTATATTTGAATATATGTTAAATTTTCAAGTCATATGCTTTTAGGTTACAAATTATGTATTTAAAAAAAAAACTTACAAATTATGTGATTAATTTTAATGAACTTCTATGAAATATATTTAAAATAATAAATTAAATACTTAATATATATTTAAAAATAAAATTTAGTTAATTTAATATTTTTTTTAAAAAAATAGATTTAAAAGAGCCATTTTTTTAATATATAAAAAAAAGCATGAATTCAGTACGTAAAACATGCCGTTTTGCACTGAAACGACTTGTCATATTCGAAGCATGAGTCCATTTTTTATTTTATTATTATTATTATTTAAGGCAGTGAGCTTTCCATTTTGCAAACATGAAATATCTCCCTCTCTCTTCTCTTTTGCAGCTGTGGCAATGGAGTCTGCATCTCTAAAGCATGTAATCTTTACAAGAAATCAGTACAGTATCTTCTCGAAGAATCAAAGAAAACACCACCCACTCATCCCAAAAACTCATGTTAGGAGAAGATTTGGGTTTCGCAGCGTCAAAAACTACAAAAAATCAGATTTTCAAGGTAGAAACTTTGATGACTTACATGCATGGCCTTGCTTATAGTTATTTAGCAGTCCGTTCATGTGATATGTGCTTCTTTTGCTGCTTGAATTAATGGGTTTTCTTTGTATTCGTCAAAAGATGCTAAATTTGTTGGATTTTTGCTGTTTCTTGAACCTGTGGACGGAAAAGGGACCATTTTGAATACAAAGATTGTATCTTTAATGTCTTCTGTTTTTATTTTTTAACTTAATTCATGGAGATTAAGAGTTTATAGTATTCATATAGCTGAGTTGAAAGTCCATTGATTGATTTCAAATAAATTGGTGGAGAGATGGAGTTGTTTTATGTTTGGAAATCTATGATTTTGTTGTGGATGGCTATGTATCCTACTAGGGAGGTACTAGAAATGGTTTCTAAAATGCTTTAGTGGATAGCAAATTGATGCCTTTCTGCTTTCTGAAGTTGTTATTTAAGCACCCACGATTCGAAACTGAAGGTAATTTGTCCAGCTAGCACTATGAAATTTGCAGGTGGAAATTATTGGTTGGGGTGCAAAAGTTTTTTTCTTCATCTGAGTAGGAAAAACGACTGGTCCTTGGATTCATTATGTGATGTTAGTAGTTAGCTTTTTTTTTAAGCAGCTGCAATAGTGTGAATGTGTGATGTTAATGAGCTTATGGTTGGGGTTTTTAGTATGATTAAGTGCTTGCTTTGTGTGCATATGCATGCAGCCTTGAATTATTTCCAAAGTCATGTTTTCAATCCTTGCCTCCTGTTGCTACTTTGATAGTTGCCTCTTTGAAAAACTAGGTTTCCCACTTGGAATTAAGATACAAAGTTTGTTTGAAATATGCGCTATATGGTTCCGGGAAGTCCCAAAGAAAAAGGAGGGGCATATGTTCAGTATGAATCTTTTATGTACCTTAGATTTGTATGTGGTAACTTATGTTCTAGAAATCAAATTCTGTATATCTCCCTAGGTACCATGTCGCTGTGAAATTGCATAGACATGGAATTGAAGAAATTGTTAATGAAAGACATTCGTTTATAATGCCTTGTACTTTCCATGTCTATTAACATAAAATTAAGTTGTGTTCATGATTGCTGAACTGGGCTATAAACTTCTAGTTTACAAGACTAATGAGTTTGCATTTCAGATTTTCAGGGCTATGCAAAACCTTTGCATCTTTTGCCAGCAACAGAAGTGAAAGTTTGTACAGAAACCTCACAAGAAAAGCTTCTTACATCTATCAAAGGATCTCGGTCTTTGTTCAAGGTTAAGCTATGTACGAGTAATGTCTATGGCTCAAGTCTGAGTGATCCTAATGCTGGAATACTCTTATGTTTGATAGACAGGAATGGTGACTCAATATTGCAAAGAATACGTGCGATTTCAGAGTCCAATTCTGCTAACTTGATGGACATGGTGGGGTCTGACACACTTCATTTCCAAAGAGGTTCAGTTGATGAATTCACCTTTGAGGGCCCCAGGATGGGGAGGATCGAATCTCTTTGGGTCAGTGTTGAATCAGGTAAGTGCGAGATGGTTGTGAAAAGCCTTAGGATTTGTAGTCTAGAATGTCTTTTCTACTCCATGACTCAGAATTGGGAACAATATACCATGGATGCTCAACCTAGACTTCTACCCACATTGTATCTGATATATGCTTGTCAACTCTCATGGTTAAATTGGCATCCAGTGCAAAACATCGTCATTTATATATCCCTGGGATATTAGTTAGGAGTAACTCATATAGTATTGATTAGGCTTGTCTTGAACATCATAATAATGGTTTTCCTTTTCTTTATTTCTCAAATTTCTAAGGTCAGGTCAGTGGAGATTAGATGGTGTGAGTCTGACTGTCATTAGTGCTTCTCAAGCTTCCCCTGAAGAAAATGATGGACAGGAGATCCGGTATACTGGTTGCCAGTATGAGTTTGAAACTGATGATGTTTTGCTTGGGGAGGGAAGTGACATATCCATGGTGGAACTTAGATCTTGCCATCTATCTGATTTATCTGGGGTTGATCCATCCACGTTGTTGAGTAAAAGCCCTTCCATGTCAACTTCCCCACCTGGCAGCAACGTTTCTAACGAGGAAAGCATGAGAGAATATGCAGACTTGAAGTTATCTTTGTTATCCTATGATGCAATGCTAATTTTTGTGGGTACAACAATAACAGGTTTCTCAGCTGGAGAAAATGCTGCTTTTGCTTTCTTTATCGGTGGAATTGGTGGCTTTTTATATTTGTTGCTGCTACAAAGGTCTGTCGATGGATTACCAGCTTCGTCAATTCCCAGCAATACCATTGGGATCAATCGCCTAGTTGGAGGACTTAAGGGTCCAATTTCAAGCTTGGCACTGGCTGTAGGGTTTACTTTTCTAGCAGTGAAGTATAGCTCTGGTGATGCTCCCTCAGTGTTAACTCCAAAAGAACTTCTGGCTGGAATGTTGGGGTTTCTTGCGTGTAAAGTGGCTGTAGTATTGGCAGCATTTAAGCCTGTGAAACTGGATTTCAAGGAAAATGAGTAATGTATTTCATTTTCCTTTTGTATAGAGTTGGAAACCTAGAGTTCGTATAGAACCTAATGGGAAACACTGAAGTGTGTGTAAACATAGGAAATATTCGTTCGTGTTTATTCTTCTCATCTGAACGTAAATGATACAGAAGTTACTTAGAAAGGATGAACCGTTGGACTACAAACGCTTTTGCTGGTTAAATTTTGTGTTTAACCATTCTATAACACACACATTTACAGTCCTAGCAAGCAGAGAGAGCATGTTATTTGACAGCCAGAGAGATTGAAATACGTGGTGTCAAGTACTTTGTACTAACATTTTATGTTCGTTCACAACAAGCATCAACTCTATCTCTTTGCCTAACGATAAGAAAATAATTGAAGATAGGAAAAAAGGAAGTACAGATGATTTGAGCTATTGATCAATGATAGACTTGTAGCTGGGAAGAGAGATTTGGGAGTAGTAAATTTTCTGTTGTTTCGGACGTGGTGAGTTAGCTAGCTAGTTTTATTCCTATTTGAAACAAACAGGCCTGAAAATAACCACGCATTATAAGAAAATCAAAGGCAGAAGACTCCTTTTGATAGGATTTTCTTTCTTCTGATGAGCATATGTTACTCCATTGTCGAGTAAGAACATTGCCAGACAGCACCAACCAATCCAAACATTCAGCAGTGGTACCAAAAGGTTTGAAATTACAGATCGATTCGCGATGAAAACAGGGCAGTTAGCTAAGGAGATCCCGAGGATAATTTTATATTATCCTCTGACAGCCAGTTGAGCATCTGCAATGTATCATTTAGAATAACAGAAGGCTAATAATTAATTCACTTTGAAAGCCGCCTCGGAGTATTGCAGATTCAGCAACTGCTAGTGCTGCGAGAGTTTTTACAGGATGAAAGAAAGCAGTACATCATCCATCATAGCCTGTTTATCTAAAGATTTTAGTCTCTGCAATTGTTGGTGAAATGTAATATATAGAGAGAGCTTAGAAACTATGTGACTTTAACGAGAGAGAAAATCCCTATGAAGTGATATTTGCCTCCACTACCAACATTGTAGTTAATTGCCATATGGATTCATGGCAAAAACATTTTCAAGAAGTTCAATTGATAGCAAACCAAGAACCCCTATTAGAGCTTTCCAAAGAGATTTTTTTACGAATAATTTTATATTATTCTCTAATCTTTCTTCTAAAAAAAATAATAAAAAATGATTGAACATATTAACCAACAAGTTATTGCTTGGATGCATAGGCTATCGATGTCATTAAATCCTTAATTAATTAGCACAAGATTGAACTAGACTAATAATTGGAAAATAAAAAAAAAAAACAAATTCTTGTTAAAATGTGCTCAACATTTTCAGTTTCTACGAACCCTCGCAATTATGGAGCAAATAATGCCAGATTCCTGCATTCAAAATCCTTCGTTACAAGAACAAGAGCTCAAGGGATTAGAGCCCACAAATGCTCGAGCAGTGGTGCCATTCCTCGGCCATTGATCAAAGAATTCATTCCTCGCACTGATCTTCGTGTGCATGAAATTGTCGAGAGGCAGTCGCAGGCTAACAACTTAGCCAAGCAAGATGTCTGTAGAAGGGTAGAGATGAATCTGACATTACTTGAAGAAGCGTATAAAAGAAGCAGAAATATCTGTGCAGAATATGCTCGGACGTATTAACTAGGTGGGTATAACATCCTGTTTCTGATAGGATGTAGTCCTTTACTTGCATGTAGTTTATTCTGGTGTGCTATAGGGGTATTGCCATTCGTGACTGAATTTTGTCACTCATAAGCCCTCTTTTGATGCAGCTTCTTTGCTGATGACAGAGGAGCGACAGAAAGCCATATGGGCAATTTATGGTGAGAGACTAACATCACTGAGTATGTAGATTAGCTGATTACTCTTTAATTATACGTTCCTGATAACTTATTTTCAATCAGAAGTGTTCTGTTTCTTCTGAATCTTGAGGAATCGGGATGGTTCCACCTCAAGGCATACCAATGGACTAAATGATCATTTGTATTTAATGCTAAAGGCTGGACCTTTGATTACCTAGCTAAAAAATTAAAGATAATTCGTCTTCTGTTAATTCTTACAACTTATTCTCAAGTTGTTCTGCTTTAACTGATATGCTTATGCAGCTTGGGGCACTAGGATGGATGAAATGGTGGATGGCCCAAATGCTGTCTACATTGGCACTTCTCTTCTTGATAGATGGGAGGAAAGACTGCAAGACATCTTCGACGGCCGCCCCTTTGACATGCTTGATGCTGCACTTACTGATACAGTTTCCAATTTCTGTCTAGATATTAAGGTACCTGAAACATTTTCCCCTTAGCCTGATTTCATTCCAATCTGTTCGTGCAAGAATCGTTCTTTTATTCCATGGCATGTGAAAAACAAACTACAAATTTTATGAAGATCCTTTCAGTTCTTAGCTTATTTATTTGCATTAGTATTTTCCTTTGTTTCTTCCATTCACAGCCTTTCAAGGAGATGATCGAGGGTATGAGAATGGATACCTGGAAAAGTCGGTGTAAGGACTTTCAAGAGCTCTGCCTTTACTGCTACTATGTTGCTGGAACAGCTGGAATCATGACTGTTCCAGTAAAGGGGATTGCACCTGAATCTTCTGTTTCTACTAAAAGCATTTATAATGCAGCAATTCATTTTGGTATTGCAAATCAACTCACAAACTTTCTCAGAGATGTGGGGGAGGAGTAAGTTTTCAGTGCCTCAGTTTTGCAATTGCAACATGTTCTACTTGGTTTCAAGATAGTTCTTTTCCATTTTCCCTTCTCAGTGCATGGAGAGGGAGAATTTGTCTTCCACAAGATGAGCTTGAACAATTGGTCTATCCGACGAGGATGTTTTCGCAAGAAAGGTCACTGGCAATTGGAGAGAGTTCATGAAAAAGCAGATTGCAAGGGCAAGATTCTATTACAACCTTGTAGAGCAAGGGATCTCGCGTCTTGACAAGGCTAGCCATTGGCCGGTATCTATATTCCTTCACACCATTGAAACACCAACATAAATCGAAAACTTTTCACATCTTTGCTGATAGATTGATATTTTATTTGCAGCTATGGTCATCCTTGCTCTTATACCAAAACATCTTGGATGCTATTGAAGATAGTGATTACGATAACCTCACAAAGCGAGCTTATGTTGGAAAGAATAAGAAACTTTATCATATTGTCTCTTGCATTCAAAAAAGCTCAATCAGTTCCAAGCTCAATATTTCACTAAGATTGCGTTTGGTTGGTGTTTCAAAACCGAAGAGACAAGATACAAAAGAGATAGGAACAAAACCATAAAATAAATTTGCCACAATAACATACTCTCTCTGTCTTAATTGTTTCCATCTCTTTTGTCTAATCAAAGCTATCTGAAAGAAGGTTCTTGTAGCAGTTAGCATAGAGAAGTGAAGCGTGCTTAAATTATTCCAAGTGAAGTTTGTGTCTGATGCATCACCTCTTCGAGATGTGAGTGCTAGTTACATGGATTGGCATTTGATAGTCATTATAAACAAGGATTTGCATGGAAAAGTAAACTTCATCTTGTAGATTTTCAGCAGAAAATCTTGCATGACAAGTTTGCTTAGTCAACTAGCGAAGCAGAATTAGGCTTTACCGCTCCTAATTCGTGCATCGGAAAATTAACTTTTTTGTTTGTTCTGTTGTTGCACAAGAAATTTAATGGGAGGGAACAAATTAATTATAATTAATAAGCAATAAACTATATAAAAAAAAAAATCAAATGAAACATGATAGCAAGGGGACAGAAAAGAAATATGTACAGCATGTCACATGACAGCCTTGGAAAAGAATAGTGGTTCGGTTGCATCTACGCCCATGAGGATAGGTATTGGGATATTTAGGAAGGAGAGGACATCAACACAAACAAAATGTTAAACACAATAAAATTGAGTGAAAATATAATATTCACTAAATGTATATTACCTTGCACACAAAAACCCACCATGAAATTTGCTTGGATTTGGTTGGCTTGGTAAAACTTGAGTTAATATTGTTGTATTCAAATTAATTATAAAAAATTATTTATTAATAATTAATAAAAATAAATAAGCCTCGAACTTGATCTATTTTTCCATTTTATTGAACAAAATCAAAATCATGTGTAGAATAAGATATAATTTTAGTAAAATTGCATGGATTAGCAAGGTTTTTTAAAATTGTGTTTGATTATTTATTTTGAAAAAGAAGAGATAAAAATAGTGGAGGTAAAAGAAATATGTTGCTATGTCTTTCTTGTTTAAAAATGATAAAAATTCAGTCTAAAACTATATAAAAAATTAATTTATTTTTCTATTTTTATCTTTATGATTTTAAATTTCTTCAACAAAACATATTTGTTTCTTGATAAGTTCATATATAATTACTTTCTTGTATATCATTTACTTTAATTTATTACACTGGTGAAAACCAAATGAATTTTATAATATTTTAGGCTTAGAGGAAATTACCTTTCACTATTTTTACTTTTTTTATCTTATTAAAGAAAATTATTTGGTTTGGCATGAGGTGAAACCAATTGAAATATCTAGTGAAATCAATCATTATTTTTTTCTTCTTTTGGCTCGATACTGAGAAAACTAAACGGTCTCTATATAGCCATTTGGCATTGTTTTCACTGTCCCAAAGATGATCATTCTTCAGGTCACACTTAGTCTTTCACTTCGGCTTTTACCTGTTAAATTTCCTTTCTGGTTTTGACGAGCATGGTGAGATCCCAACGGATTTTTAGTGACTTTTCTCATATTACTATGCTGGCTCGGTTAAGCCATTACAAAAATGGCCTCAAGTCTCAACTTAAGCTGCATCACATCAATACACAGTCCATAAACTGCCAAGTAGTAGCTCCAAACAGCAGCTTTCATCCTCGAAGATGGATTGAGGCCTGATGTTGAGATGTTCAAAATGTGTTGTCTTAGCTTCATGTCTCATATAAGACTAAACCAACTGCTCATGCATCATGGCCTTCACAAGGGGAAAATGACGGCAACACGGCCTATTCTTTGATTGCACAGTGTAAAATGCAAATGGGGGAGGTTTTTATTTTACTTGGGGACTACAAAATGCACTCCATTGTCACTTCAGGGAATAAATAGAATTAAGGTTGTGTTATTAAGGTTGCTATTGGACAAAATCTAGCATCTTGGTAAAACATAATATACTCTAGCACCAAATCTAGGTGTTTATGTCTTTACTGAAAATTAAAAACTATCAAGTTGTAACAACATTTTGTAATGCAAATTGTTATCATCGATAAGAGCAAGCTATTTAATTAATCCTCCATTTTGGACGTAAGAGGTTCCAATTTTTTATCGCATGTTCTTATTTATGCACAATGGAAGAAGCATACAGAAACAACAACCTTCAGAAGAAGAAGAAGAAGAAGAATCTAGTGAGCTTAGACTAGTGGGCCATTTGCATGATGCTCTCATCAATGTCCTTTTCATATGGAGATTGAAAGGGAGAGAAATGGAGGGAGAGATACGGCTGTTTAGTTGACTTGACATTGCCTGAGGGTGCAAAATATTTGAGATATTCAATCCTTCATTAAGCTCTTAGGTACATTTTCTGATATTTTGAAAGGAGTTGTCGATCATTTTAGAGTGATCTGATCATTCTTCAGGAGCCTGTTCATACCTGGATAGAACTTGTTAAAAGTCGCCAGATGTGTTCTACATTTTCGCTTTCGGCTAAGCCTTGCGCTGCGGCACATACTGGCAAATTCCTGCATTCAAAATCCCTAGCTACAAGAGCAAAAGCTGAAGTGATCACAGCTCCAAAGAGATCGAGCGGACAAGCTTTTCCTCAGCTATTAAAACAAGGAATTCCTCATACTGATCTTCAAGTACATGAAATTGTTGAGAGGCAGTCTCATGCTAATGTCTTGGGCAAGCAAGATACGTGTAGAAAGTCAGAGTTCCATCCCGTGTTTCTTGAAGAAGCCTATGGAAGGTGCAGAAACATTTGCGCCGAATATGCCAAGACATTCTATCTAGGTAACATCCATAACTATTTCCAATGTTTCACTAGTTGTATAGTCCTAGAACACATGATTCAAGGATTGCTAGATGATAACAGAACTATCACGCCGTTTGAATAAATGCTGGATTACTTACCAGTTCCTATTAGCATAGGTTTCCAAACTGTTTTATGATTTATCACAAGGTTTAATTTGCCTCTATATCTTAACACAAATTGTGTCGCAAAAGATTGATGTCCATTCTCTCTTGATGCAGGAACTCTGCTGATGACAGAGGAGCGACAGAAAGCCATATGGGCAATATATGGTAAGAGATTAAAGTCGGATCATATAGAATTTGCAAGAAAATTAAGATAATGCAATACACACATATAATTATGAGTATGAAGAATTCATCAAGTTTCTAATCCTTAAAATGTCGGATCATATCCTGGTGAATAACTTTGACACATTCCACGAAAAAATATTCCGAAAGAAGCAATTCGATGGATCCTAACACTTGCACTAGTGATGCATCAAGCAATGAGATTTACCTAAAAAGTAAACTGTTATGACTTCAAATTATTTTTAACTGAAATGTTTTCTGCAGTATGGTGCAGGAGGACAGACGAACTGGTCGATGGCCCTAATGCGGTGCACATGAGCACTGCTGTTCTTGATAGGTGGGAAGAGAGGCTGCAAGACATCTTTGATGGATTCCCCTATGACATGCTCGACGCTGCACTTACCGATACGATTTCCAAGTTTTCTTTAGACATTAAGGTACTTGGAAAAACTAGCTGAATTAATTGCTATTTTTGTGTATGTTCTCAATCTGATGATAGAATCTTTTATTATCTCACAGCCTTTTAGGGACATGATTGAAGGTATGAGAATGGATACTAGAAAATTTCGCTATGATAATTTTCAAGAGCTCTATATGTATTGCTACTACGTTGCGGGCACAGTCGGCCTTATGAGTGTTCCAGTGATGGGAATTGCAGCAGAAGCTTCGGTTTCTGTAATGTTTTGAATAAATAAGTAGGAAAATACAATAAAGCCCTTGGTGGCTTAAAGTGTAGGTATAAATGAATGAGGGGTAGTGTAGTAATTAAACAAAACTTGATAAATATAAATAGAAAGTAAAAAAAAAAAAAAACAAAATAAATGATCTGAAATTAGAGAGAATCGGCAGGAGAAAGAAGGGAGAAAGAAGAAGAAGAGAAAAGAGAGAAATTAGAAGAAAAATAGAAAGGAGTTGAAGGAAATAAGTTTAAAGGTAAGATTATATATAAATATATGTTGATTAAGTTTTAATTTTGGTTTTGATAAATGTTAGGGTTTTGAAAATTTGTGTTTTGGGTTTGATTGATGAATTAATTGAATTTTATGGGTTGATTGTTATGGGTAATGGATTATTTGGTGGATTTTGAGAGATTGAATTGAAAGATGATGATTTTGAGTTATGATTTTGTTTGAATGGTGAAATTATGTTAGAAATAAGGAAAGAACAGTGGGTTTCTGTTGAAATTCTGGGTTGGAGGTTGAAGATGACGAAAATTCATTTTGGTCCTTCAATTTGTGGAAATTACAGTTTAGTCCCCAAACTTTGGAAAATTTACAGATTGGTCCCTGGGGCATATTCCGAGATTCTGAACAGAATAAAAGATAAATTATGGGCAGAATTCCTGTATAGTTATGAAATTTTAACACTTTCAATTTGGTCCTTCAATTTGACAAAAATTACCGTTTAACCCTAAAAAAATTGATAAAATTCCAGAATGGTCCCTGGAGTATAATGAGATGATCTGGACAGAAATGAGGATTGGTTATGGTCAGAATTTCAGTATATTCATGGATTTATGATAAGTTTAGTTTGGTCCTCCAAATGGATTAAGTTACAATTTGACCCTTAAAAATATAATAAATTACAGATTAGTCCCTAGCTGTAATATTAGCTTTTGCAGATGTGTTTGATGAATAATTGAGGGTTAGTTAGTGAAGTATTACCAATTTTATTATTTGTTTTATTGTGGATTAGATTTTGAGAAAATCGTTAATTTTTGGGTTTTTGGAATATAACTAATTAGTTCAAAAATATATAGGGTTATGGAATATATACTTAAATAAGTGTATTAAATAGGTTATATATTCTTTTGAGTCATTCTTGAATATGTCTCCTTTGTATTCAGATAATCCTGATATTCTACCGGCAGGACGTCAGTAGGATTTTCTTCGGTGTTTGCTTTTGATTTCTGTTTGCTTTCGAGTCAGGTGAGTGGATAATTTTCCATATGCATGAGAAATATTATAAATATTTGATTTGTTAATATGAATTGGATCATGCTTCTTGATAATATATATGGTGACTATTATCCTTGTTATGATAAGCATGATCAATTGTTGAATCTGAATTCTTGATATGAACCAGTATGTATTTTGGATTGACTTCTGAATTGATAGCTCCTCATTTGATTGATGTCATGAGTTGAGCCTTGAGATATTAATATGTCTGTTTGAGTATGATTATGACCCTATGGTATGTCAGTCAGAATACCCATGCTAACAGGGTAATGTTAGTCTTTGTGCACATCGTATCTGAACCCTAGTTGGTCGGGGGAGTCACCAACCTGTGTGGACTGATCATCCCACAGTACGGAGCCTCATGCTCATTGCATTTTGATTTTCTGACGATTTTACCATATGATATTCTTGTTATGGCCTATTTGAGAAACCTTTTTATAAGAACCTAAATTCATACTTGTATATATATTTCTCATTATTGTATTATCTCGTGTGTGTATATTGAACGTTATCTACTCACTGAGTTGTTGAACTCACACTCTCATTATTTATCATTTTCAGGCTTATAGCTTGATAGCAGGTCACTTTTGTTCGACCTTCAGAACCTGCTCTTTTGGTTGTAATCCGTGCATTTTCCTTTATGTCTAATTAGTGCTCCAAAACTATAAAATTATATTAACTCTTGTATTAAGACAATTCAATTATATTATGAAATTGATTTTGTTATTAATGCTGCGTTGAACTCTGATTGAGTTAGGATAAATTTGTATGTAAGTTTGGGTTCGCATAGGTACGGAACCTTGGAGGGGAACCTTGCCTATGTGCCGGTCATGGATCCGGGATTCGGGTCGTGACAGTTTCTGCTCTAAGTATTTATAATGCAGCACTGTACTTGGGTATTGGAAATCAACTGACAAACATTCTTAGAGATGTTGGAGAGGAGTAAGTCTTTTCCAAACAACTTTCATTCAGTTTTCTCATTTCAATCTCTTAACTTAGTTCAGTCCTTTTTTCTTTCAGTGCTTTGAGAGGGAGAATTTATCTTCCACAAGATGAGCTTGCACAGTTTGGTCTATGCGACAAGGATGTTTTCTCAAGAAAGGTCACTGATGGATGGAGAGAGTTAATGAAGGAGCAGATAACAAGGGCAAGATTCTATTTCAACCTTGCAGAAGAGGGGGCTTCACAGCTCGAAAAAGCGAGCCGATGGCCGGTGTGTATTGGAAATTATCCTTTCACCTCTTGAAAAACATCCAAATCTAACCTATATTGTACGTGACGATTATTCGTACGTTGACAGATTGGTCTGTGATTTGTTGCAGGTATGGTCATCCTTGCTGATATACAGAAAAATCTTGGATGCAATTGAGGATAATGATTATGATAACTTCACCAAACGAGCTTTTGTTGGAAGAACTAAGAAACTTCTCACATTGCCCCTAGCATACTCCAAAGCTCAACCGATTTCTAGCTTGATCTTTCAGTAAATCAAGATTTTATAAGCAGCCCTAGTGTGTGGAGGAGTGGAGTAAATAGTGAAACAAGGTTGTGTTTGTGTGTCATGGAGGAAGTCTTCGAAGTATGATAAGATTGATTACACATTCCCCTAATAGAACTAGAAATTTTCATGGAAAGTAAACTGCAATACATTTCTTAGGTATTACAAATGTAAATTATGTTCATCTGGACAAAAACTGCTTGCACTACAAATCTCACCCTTCTTTGAGGCAATTTATATATGTTATTCTCAATACATTCACAAACAGAGAAGAGATGCTACAGTTTCTGACACCATAGAAGCAGATGCAATGATGAGGCTGTAGATCAACCGGCATCGATCTACTCTTTTCCTCTGAAAAGTTTCGAGTTCAGGTATCTCCTTACTATAAGCCTAAACACATGGTCCAAATACTGAACTCTAGGGGGGTTATTCACATCACCTCCAATCCGCGGTTGAGGTACCACGGTATTACACTAGTTTTTTACCTGCGAGTCGGGTCATGTTTTTATAACCTTAGAAAAAAAAAATGCTATGAGGTTAAAAATAATAAAAAATTAAAATATTGAGAAAATAACACAAGGGACAACATATTTTTTTTAAAATATATATATTAAAATAGTGATATATTAAATCGATTCAAATCAATTATATTTATTTCATGAAACCTCCAAACCAAAACATAAGCCTGTGATAAGCTTATGGAATCAAAAATCAAAACAATTAAAAAGCTTAATATTTTAATTAATCAAATATTAAAAATCTAAAAAAACTTTTCAATTAAAAACTGTAAGTTATATGCCACCCGAAGATTACAAGGTAACTCACTTATTAAGCATGTTATGTATCTATCATTATCTTTAAAAAAATAAAAATATTAAGCAACTCACCAAATCATCCCCAAGACCAAATGATTATTTCAAAAAAAAAATAATGAATATGCTCCTAAAGTCAAGCACGAGTAACTACAATGTGCAATGTAAAAGAAAATTTCAAAAATGCTTATAGATTTTTTTATTTTAAGAGTAACAAAGTAATTTAATTATAAAAAATATTGTGAAAAAACTAAGTTACCCCTAAATAATTATAGAATGATTTATTTACCCTTGATGCCAGTTTTCATGTAAAAAGTAAAAATATTACACGTATAATATTTTTTCCATATCCTCACTTCCTCTCCCTTTAAAAGGTGTTGATAGGCTTAATGAGCTTTGTTTTTTTATACTTTCAAAAGTTAAAAGGCTTTATTTGTTTTGTAAAATAGTATGGTATTGTTTGTATTTTATTTTAATTATAAATTTAAAAATATTTAATTAATCAATATACGCACAATGAATAACATTAAAAACTCTCTTGAAATCTTGATTTGAAATCTTAATTAGAGACAAGTTATAATTATTAGTTTTTTAAACTTTATTTTTTAAATCATAACCAGAAAAATTATCACATATAAAAAATTATGTAACATGTTTTCTAAGAACCACATTACCAGATAAAAAAGATTAAAAAAGAAAAAAAAGAGCACACCTAAACAAAATGGCGACCTATCGCCTTGCAATAGACTTGCATCCTTTCATATTTGAAGGGAATCATCTTCTAAGTATCTTAAAATGATCCCTCGTACCCAAACTAAAGAAAAAAGGGAAAAGAAGACGTGTACGCTAGCATTGCACCTTCTCTTTAGGGTTTTTGGTCTTTATCGGTGTCATCTTCAAGCCTTTCCCTTGTTGGAACTTGGAAGTATCTGACAATATACATGCTTTCATGGTTGACGTCCTTGCAAAAGATTCCAAGCTCGGTGAGTAAGCGGGCAATTGAAAATGACATACCCATTGCAAAAAGATTCCGGAAGAAGAATCAACGGGTGGTATTTGCCTGAAGGTGATGCCTCAACACTTTCAACCTAACTGTTGTTATCACACTGGCAGTGACTATCTCTTCCACAAACCAATTTCATTTGTCCATCCAAACACCATAAATGGCATATATACCGTCCGCTCACAAACCAACAATCGCTCATCCATCAACAATCCAAAATATCAAACAGAACAGCAACTTCAGCTCTCCACAAACCATTCAGGGGTGGAAGCCAGTTGACAGAGACAATTCCAGATCAATGTTTGAACTTCCTGAACTGAAATCGATTCTGTTTTCAATAGAAGACAACAATTTACAAAATCTAGCACCGTTGACACGATCAATATTTGTGGATTGTAGGAAAAACACCCTGCATTCGCAGGAGCTTGTTCAAAGCAATTCTGCCAGAAAATTGCAACTGAATCCTGTAATGATATGTCATGGGAAAGAGGGGTTTAGACCAATTCATGGCTCGACTATCGGATGCAAAGTGCAAGTGAATATTATCTAGAGATGTTATGGAGGCACCTGCTGGAAAACACTTGATTAGAACTGCGTGAATGAAGATAAAAAATAAAAAGCAACCGTTATAAGTCAACTCATTGTCTCTCTACACATCCCCAACCCTGAAACAACCATCCTTCTACAAAAGGGGAAAAAAGGAATAAGAGAACAAAATCAAGGAATAAAAAGAAGCCACATTGTTTGCTGGAAATGGTACATTTGCGGCTATTCTGTTGCAGCTCCATTGCTGCCTCTTACGGAAATTCAAGCATAATCAGCAAGCCAATTGAATCAAGGAAGCCCCACTTGCCCATTATACATGCTTTCTTGCCACCTGCCCACATAGCAAATTTATACTTGGAAGTAGCCCTCAATAAGTAAACCAGCCAGGAAGCGCTCGCTAGGAGGATTCAGCATCTCATAACCAGCTTGAATCATAGGAAGTAATCTGGTGTTCTCCGGGTCACATCTGGCTCACCCCTCCTTGGAGCAGGCTCAAACTGCAAACATGATAGATTTTTGACAATTTTCAAGATACAATTTTGCACCTAGTGTATGTTATGATTTCCTGTAGAGTCCTCTAGCATCATAAACCAACCTGAATGAACGTGTGGCCCTTGCAGTCATCAACTTCCAAGATTGATGCCATGTTTCCACAGCGATAGCAATAATTGGGTGCACTGAAGATAGTGACCACCTTTTGTTCCTGTCACAGGAAAACAAGCACAATCAACCACATGAAATTTGCAGAATGAAGCAAGAGATTAGCCAAGAGGGGAAAAAAAAAGAAGCAGCAGGGGGAAGTAGTTACGTGGCCCCAGTTATACCCCTCCATAACCAACTGGTGAGCTCTTGCAATCAGCTTTAAGTTGTTTGTATGATTAAATTGCTCAGATATGTCCTACAGAAACAAAAGAAGCAGGCTAAGAAAAAACATGTTTGTTCTGCCAAAAATTACAAACGCAAGAGAAAAGAATGAATATGGGGAGTATATTACTTGACCGAAGGTATATCCAGCACCCCTAGGTGAGATGCCCCAACCACATCGATCATCAGGGTCAGACCACAACAGATCACACATGGGACCCTCATGGGGAACTTCTTGAACACGGTCAAAATTACGAATGTTATCAAGGGTTTCAATGGAGGGTGACAATCCACCATGGAGGCAAAATATTTCCGACTCAACCTTCAAAAGAGGAGAAAAACAGCATCTCCATATTAAATGCCCAAACTGAAAGGTACTATGGCACATCCACAAAGGTAAATTTAAATTTTGTATTCTTTCTTCAATTATATTGGTGGTAAAAAAATCTGTTACTCAGTATTTTTTTTTTGCCCCCAGCACTCACCAATGCTGTAAGTGGAAAATAATCAAACAGGTCTGTAAAGATCTTCCAAACATTAGCATTGCCATACCTGCAAACAAAAACCAAGGATACTTATTCTTCCTGTACACACCTGTGTCAAAACAATTCTATACAACTATTTGAATAACAGTGGGCGAGATATAAAGTTGTTTGAAATAAGATGGAATATACAATTCTTCCTGTACTTGGAAGTCTATTTTATTACTAGTAAAAAATCCTACAGCTATTATCAAGTCCACTTCCTTTCAATTTCAAAAGTTATTGGGGTTAAGATAGACAGAGGTAGTAGATTTTTTTTTCTGAAATTATTTTGTTTAAATTGCACAAAGAACTCTACTTTTCTTCATAACAACCTATATTCGTGCATCTCAGACATGTTACAGATAATGTAATAGTCATCCAAGCTAAAAACAAAGAAATCCATCCACAAGAAACCTAATGTGCTAGCATGCAACTTGATTGCTATGCTTTTATCATCTCTTTTTTCGTTTTATTTTTGTTATAGATTTTCATTTCTACAAGCAGACTCAATTCTCCATCCATGTCACTCACAAAATCACATCCAACTTGAAAGTAATATTTATGTTTATGCATATTATACACGAGAAACATTAAGCTAGAATTACAAATCAAGGGCCATAGGATTACAAACTAACTTAAAGATGTATTTCCATTAGAATAAGGATTCAGAAGAACTCACTTCCGTAGGCATTCATCATAGAAACCATAAACTTGAGTAATCTGAAATAGGGAATAAACACCCATGATCAGCCCAAATGATTTCGTGATGAAAAGATAGCTAAGGTAAGGCATTAAAGCATTGAAATCATAACAAGTCAACCTTGGATAAAACAATTTATAGCATCAGCTGACAAAAATACATTTGGAAGCATACCTGACGACTTTCATGATTTCCCCTTAGAATTGTAATCCGTTGAGGATACCGCACTTTCAAGGCAACCAAGAGCTGGAAAAAAAAAATCAGTACGCAGTAAGAAGTTAAGAGCCTCAACCAAACTGAGGTCGAAATTTATCAAAATTTATGTATAGCTAAGAGAATGTTATATGTGTTTCGTTTAGCACAGCTTAATTGAAATTTTTCCCAATTCAAACCAGAAGACCTTGGCATAAATATGGTCCCATAGACAACACTATAAACACAACCTAATATAATGCCACAGTTACATAAAAGGAGAAGAGAGAAGACACTGAAGTTGAAATGCATGGCGAAAAATAAAAGGATGGAAATGCTTACTGTTACAGTTTCCACTGAATAATAGCCACGGTCAACATAATCTCCCATGAACAAGTAATTTGTATCTGGACACTATAACAAACAAAAAGGTCCAAGTGAATAATAGCATACTAGGCAGGCAAGACAGGAGCGGTGGAAGCTTAATACCTAGGATGATGGCATGATAAAGAAACAGAAATTAAAAACATAATCAGTGATAGAAAGTGAAGTAAAGTGATTCAATTGTATTATCCTTAACAAAAACAAAAACACACATGAGAGATCATGACCATTACAACAACTACAAGAAGAAAGAAGAAAA